ACCCTGTAACACACGTTTGTTAATAAGTACAAACACGACATAATAGCAGAGAATAGAAACTATAACAATATATGTATTGATATCAGGCAATGACTGGCGGTATACCTGTACTTAAGACAGGTATAGCTTACAATACCAATTGTTGTTATAGGAACATATGAATATATGGCCCAGGGGTCACCACAGGCCCGTGCCAGTCCTGCTCATACATGTATACAACCCAGTCCTGCCCATACATGTATACATGTATACAACCCAGTCGTGCCCATACATGTATACAATCTAGTCCTTCCCATACATGTATACAACCCAGTCCTGCCCATACATGTATACAACCCAGTCCTGCCCATACATGTAAACAACCCAATCCTGCCCATACATGTATACAACCCAGTCCTGCCCATACATGCATACATGTATACAATCCAGTCCTGCCCATACATGTAAACAACCCAATCCTGCCCATACATGTATACAACCCAGTCCTGCCCATACATGTATACAACCCAGTCCTGCCCATACATGTATACAACCCAGTCCTGCCCATACATGTATACAACCCAGTCTTGCCCATACATGTATACAACCCAGTCTTACCCATACATGTATACAACCCAGTCCTGTCCATACATGTATACAACCCAGTCCTACCCATACATGTATACAACCCAGTCTTGCCCATACATGTATACAACCCAGTCGTGCTCATACATGTATACAACCTAGTCCTCCCCATACATGTATACAACCCAGTCTTGCCCATACATGTATACAACCCAGCCCTGCCCATATATGTATACAACCCGGTCATGCCCATACATGTATACAACCCAGCCCTGCCCATACATATATACAACCCGGTCCTGCCCATACACGTATACAACCTAGTCCTGCCCATACATGTATACAACCCGGTCCTGCCCATACATGTATGCATCCCAGTCCTGCCCATACATGTATACAACCCGGTCCTGTCCATACATGTATGCATCCCAGTCTTGCCCATACATGTATACAACCCAGTCCTGCCCATGCATGTATTTAACCCGGTCCTGCCCATACATGTATACAACCCAGTCCTGCCCATAAATGCATACAACCCGGTCCTGCCCATACATGTATACAACCCAGTCCTGCCCATGCATGTATTTAACCCGGTCCTGCCCATACATGTATACAATCCAGCCCTGCCCATAAATGCATACAACCCGGTCCTGCCCATACATGTATACAACCCAGTCCTGCCCATAAATGCATACAACCCGGTCCTGCCCATACATGTATACAACCCAGCCCTGCGCATACATAAATACAACCCGTTAATAAAGCTGCACAGTTTAACCCAATAATATTTGTTACTTCCGCCTAATATGTTCTCTTATATGTCAAGTTATATGTTAACAGTCTCCGTGGTGTAGTGGTAAGACACTCGCCTGGCGTTCCGCGAGCGCTATGTCATGGGTTCGTATCCTGGCCGGGGAGGATTTACTGGGCGCAATTCCTTAACTGTAGCCTTTGTTTAACGCAACAGTAAAATGTGTACTTGGATGAAAAAACGATTCTTTGCGGCAGGGATCGTATTCCAGGGACCATAGGATTAAGGACTTGCCCGAAACGCTACGCGTACTAGTGGCTGTACAAGAATGTCACAACTCTTGTATATATCTCAAAAAACAAAAAAAAAGTTCTCTTGTGTTTTGACACTTTTGTTGGTTGTGATCTGGTGTGATTGTTGGTTGTGATCTGGTGTGATTGTTGGTTGTGATCTGGTGTGATTGTTGGTTGTGATCTGGTGTGATTGTTGGTTGTGATCTGGTGTGGTTGTTGGTTGTGATCTGGTGTGATTGTTGGTTGTGATCTGGTGTGGTTGTTGGTTGTGATCTGGTGTGATTGTTGGTTGTGATCTGGTGTGATTGTTGGTTGTGATCTGGTGTGATTGTTGGTTGTGATTGTTGGTTGTGATCTGGTGTGATTGTTGGTTGTGATCTGGTGTGATTGTTGGTTTTGATCTGGTGTGATTGTTGGTTGTGATCTGGTGTGATTGTTGGTTGTGATTGTTGGTTGTGATCTGGTGTGATTGTTGGTTGTGATCTGGTGTGATTGTTGGTTGTGATTGTTGGTTGTGATCTGGTGTGATTGTTGGTTGTGATCTGGTGTGATTGTTGGTTGTGATCTGGTGTGATTGTTGGTTGTGATCTGGTGGGATTGTTGGTTGTGATCTGGTGTGATTGTTGGTTGTGATCTGGTGTGATTGTTGGTTGTGATCTGGTGTGATTGTTGGTTGTAATCTGGTGTGATTGTTGGTTGTGATCTGGTGTGATTGTTGGTTGTGATTGTTGGTTGTGATCTGGTGTGATTGTTGGTTGTGATCTGGTGTGATTGTTGGTTGTGATTGTTGGTTGTGATCTGGTGTGATTGTTGGTTGTGATCTGGTGTGATTGTTGGTTGTGATCTGGTGTGATTGTTGGTTGTGATCTGGTGTGATTGTTGGTTGTGATCTGGTGTGATTGTTGGTTGTGATCTGGTGTGATTGTGGTTGTGGTCTAATGTGAGTGTTTTAAGAGTATGCTCATGTCTCCCATGTTACCACCAGCCGCCCACTTCAAGTCCTCACTTACCTCTTGGGTAATGCTGGCCAGTCACCCTTCACCTCCCCTCGAGTGGGGGGTCCCACTTCAGCTAGGGACCACACTCATCATTATGCCTTGGTACTGTCCCGTGGGACCCTATGTCTCCTCTGTCCCGCCAAACACACCACGAAACTACAATTGTGCTACAACGTCGGTCGAACAAGCTGCAAGACCTTCTAACAACTTGAAAAACTTTTTGGCAAGTTTAAACAACTTTCTTGCAAGTTTAAACAACTTTCTTGCAAGTTTAAACAACATTTTTTCAAGTTAAACATCATTTTTGCAAGTTTAAACAACTTTCTAGCAAGTTTAAACAACTTTTTTGCAAGTTTAAACAACTTTCTTGCAAGTATAAACAACATTTTTTCAAGTTAAACATCATTTTTGCAAGTTTAAACAACTTTCTAGCAAGTTTAAACAACTTTCTTGCAAGTTTAAACAACTTTCTAGCAAGTTTAAACAACTTTCTTGCAAGTTTAAACAACTTTCTTGCAAGTATAAACAACTTTCTTGCAAGTTTAAACAACTTCCAAACACGTCATAAAAACTTTATAAGATGACGCAACAAGTTGTAACAGTGCAACATTAGGGACCATTACGTTGTGTGTTTGCAGAGATCATACGGTGACAAGACCTGCAGTCACAGGAGCACTCATTTAGATCATATGTAGACGAGGAGTCACAATAACGTGGCTAAAATATGTTGAAGCCTAAGAGGCAGCTCTTATAAATAGGAGCTGTCTCGTTTGGGCCAATAGGCCTTCTGTAGTTACCTTTGTTCTTATGTTCTTATTCCTATTAATATCCTCTTTACTACTCCTTACCTTCCGTACCATTTCCTTGCTCTTTCTGCCTTTAAGATTTTCTTCTCTTCACCTCTCTCTTCCCTATATATTGTCCTTTGCCACCTTCCCTCAAATTATCCTACGTTCCCACTCAAAGATTTTTGTCAGTGTTCGCTGGCAAGCTGTGTTCCCCACACAGCTGCCGGCAAACCACTCTCCACTCCAGTTTCTCCTGATAATGTCAGTAATTGCCAGAGAACATGACATACAAAGTGAAAGTGTGACTCCTCGGAGTCTACAAGCCTTCTGAGCGCGAAATTGCAGCAGCACTGGTCCCACTGATGTTGCAGACAAGCCAACATCAGTGGGACCTGTTGACGTCCATATGCATCGTAGCGAGGCCATGGTAATCTTGGCAACAAATGCGGACGAACAGAAGATCCTGGATCCGGAATGCCGGGTCCCACTACTGGAGGCGAACCTCTCGCCAATTCCACCCAGACAAATCACTGCTGGGCAAACGATATTTGTCAATAGGATGAACCGCTGGTTAGCGAATGAGGTACCCGACACCATAATGCGGCAAGTGAACGAAGAAAACCCTACTATGAAAGCAACGACAGCTCTACTCATCAAGACTTAACGACGCCACTCGATGAAGATGACCTTCGAAACAGCAGAACAGGCCCAGGAAGCAGTGAAGAACGGGTTCAAGTGCTTTGGAATCACCTCCACAACAGATCGCCATGGAGAAGGTCTACAACGTGAGACAGTGCTACAAGTGCTTCAGCTATGAACACTTCTCCAACAAGTGCCCAGGACAAACGGCTAAGTGCAGCTCATGCTCCGGCACTCACAACTACAAGGACTGTACCGCCACCACCATGAAATGCGCGAACTGTGGAGAACAGCACGTCGCCACCTCCTACCTCTGCTCAAAAAGGAAGGAGAAACTGAAGAAAATTAAAGAGAAGACCACCACACCGCCGACAATCCAGAGGCAAGTCGCCGCGACCTTGGACCTTGTAGCTGACCAGTTCCCTGGTGGATACCTGGTTGATGGGGTTCTGGGAGTTCTTCTACTCCCCAAGCCCGGGCTGAGGCCAGGCTTGACTTGTGAAGGTTTGGTGCACTAGGCTGTTGCTTGAAGCGGCCCGCAGGCCCACATATCCACCACAGCCCGGTTGGTCCGGTATTTCTTGGAGGAAAGAATCTAGTTTCCTCTTGAAGATGTGCACGGTTGTTCCGGCAATATCCTTATGCTCGCTGGAAGAGTGTTGAATAACTGCGGACTTCTGATGTTTATAAAGTGTTTTCTAATTGTGCCTATGGCACCCCTGCTCTTCACTCATTCTCTTCTGAATTTTCTTCCATGTCGTTCACTCCAGAAGGAAGGTTGTGATTTTACTGTGAAGATTTGGTACTTGGTGTTGGAAATTATCCAACCAAAATACATAATTTTTGTATTTTAATACAGCCTATTTGCAATTATTGTTTGCAAAAACAATCCAATTATTGTTTTCAATCGAGACGCAATATTCTATCAAATCCTTCTTAGTCCTCATGACACCGTGAGGAAGCGACA